GTTAGATTATGATATTATTTGTGATAAGTAATATTATTACTCCAGATATACTACTTCTCAGTCCAAATATGATTTTAGTATACTATATATAATATATATATATTATTTAATATCTAAATATATATATATATACGATATCTTGATCACATGCATGCAATCTATCCCATTGCTGTTTTCTGTTTTTTGTTTACATAGATTTTATCAGTGTGTATTAGCACTGTCTTCACTATGATAGTATAATATATAATAATATACGTATATATATATATATATTATATATATATTGTATATATTTATATTAAATAGATATATTTAACATATTATAATTTATATATATATTTATAATATATATATATTATTATATTCAATGTGCGTTGTGTGTTGTGTGTAGTGTATGTAGTGTATTATGTTGTGATGTGATGTATGATATGTTAGTGTAGATGCTAGTGTGATTGTGTAGCTATGTCAGTGTATGCTTATTGTGTGTGTTAGATGTATATGTTTATATATATTAATATAATATTAATATATATTAATATATAATTACATTGATATTATATATTACATATAGATACTATATTATATATAATATATATAATATATATATTATACTATATAATTTATATACTATATAACCATATATATATTTATATATAATGTTAGAATATATATATTTTTATATTATTATAATTATTAGACTACACACACACACTCACACACCTAACACATATCAACTAACTATCACACACCACTACACACTACACACACACACTCCACACACATTATATTATATATTATAATTATATTAATACTATATATAAATATTTTATTACCTTAATAATTCATCTATATATTTATATTACATCATTACACCACACATTTAGTATATATATATTATTATATACTCAATCTATATATATATTAATATACATATATTAATATATATATATATTATATACATAATATACATGTATATATTATATATTATAATACTTATATATTTATAACTATATATATATATGTTAATTAATATATATTATTGAATATATAATATATATAATATATATAATAATATATATATATATATATATTTATATTGATTATTATATAATATGTATATATATATATACATATAGTTATATGTCATATATATTATCTTAATAATTAATTATATATACATATATATATATATACTTATACATTATTAACATATATTCAATATATGAGTATTAATTTATACTATATATATATATACATAGACATCAATGAAAGATGGGATAATTTTAAATATATATTTTGGACCTGATACTAATTTATTGATCATTGAATACATATAATTATTAATAAACCTCTCTCACTAAATTACGGTAGTGAGATATTCACTCGTTGATCCCTCCCCTCCTAGCTCAAATGTACTCATCGTTTACACATAGCATCACACACAACATCATATATATATATATTAATATATAAGTTATATATATATTAATATTATATCATATATATATTAATATATGTTATATACATATTAGTATATATATATATATTATTATTATTAGCTATTAATCCTTATAAATATATATTAGGGATATATATATACTATTCATATAATATATATATATATTAGTGATAATATATATATGTCTATTTTATAAATTTTATATTAAATATAATATATTATATATATGTAATATATACATACATAATAATATGATTATATATTACATATATATAATATATATATATATTATATACTACTATTATATAATATATTATATATATGTGTATATGAGATATTGTCAATTCTACATACACACATAATACTACACACACACTACCTAACTCGTAACATCTAACATACATATATAAGTATATATATGTATATATATATACACATATAAATATATATAATATATATGATATTATATATATATATTAATATATATATAGTATATATTATGTATTATATATATATATATATTAATAATATCATTATTATATCAATATGTACTATATAATATATATATATATATATAGTATATATATATATATATATATATATATATATATGAGAGCTCGAAAAACTAGGTTCCCAGTGAGCTAGAAACTTGTGTCCGGTCACACTTTTTAGATGTCAACAAGTGATCAAAATTTCTGAAAGACCGGCCATTTTCTTAAGGAGCGACAGTAAGGGCCAACCACACTAAAATTTAGGAAAGAAGTATAAGGACAGAGGCAGGTACCACTTTTCTGAACCAGCAAATCCCAGCAATCATAAAAGATAGACATGATCGGCAAATCATATAAAACGTCTCATTAAGGACTGTGCTTTAATTCGAATATAAATGAAGTTGCGACCAAGTGAGAAAATGAGTAGAGCATGCATATGCAAAATAGGAGAGGGTACCATATATCAGCTTTTAAATAAAATAGAAAATTAACCAAGATGACATTAGAAAGCTTTCATACATAAAATGTCAGTAAAAATCTGATTCCAACATGAGACCTTAAGGTTATGCAGCCATTGTTAACAATAATCATGAAGCCAAATATATAACAAAATAACACTTACACATTATACATACTATGTATTAGACATACATAAAACATATATATATATATATATATATAATATATATATATATATATATAATATATGTATATTTATAATATACAATATATATATATATATATATATGTATTATATTTGATAAATATATATATATATTATATATAATCTACATTAATATATTATATATAATATATATGATGTGTGAATATATGTGGTGGTGTGTGTGGTGTTGTGTATATGTGAGTAGTGTGTAAGTGGTATATATTATACATATATGTATATATATATATGTTATATATTATATACATATATATATATTTATATATATAATATATGTGTTAATATACACCTATATATATAATAATAATGTATATATTATATATATATTAATATACATATAATATATATTATTAATATATATATATATATATATATATAATATATATATTATTATGATGTGGTGTGTATGTAGTGGTAGTAGTGTGTGTAGTTATGGTGTGAGAGTGGTGATGGTGTTTGTAGTGAGGTATAGAGATATATTATTATATTAATAATATATATATATATTGTATATACATTTATAATCTAATATATATATATTATTATTATTATGGTGTATTATAGCATATATGTATACATTATATTAATATATATACACACGATATATATTATATATATATATATACTAATTAATATACATATATTAACATACTATCACACACCACTAACATAGTACACTAACACTACAACACTACACATCACTCACAAATCTATCACTATACTACACACATACTAACATCAATTATATATCATTATATTAATTTAATATATTTAAATTATAATAACTAATATAAATATATATTAATACGTATATATATATTTAATATCATATATAATTAAATAATATTATTATATATATTATATATNTATAATATTATAGTATATACTATTATAAACATATAGTGTTATAAATTGGTAGTAATCATAATATATATATATAATAATTATATTATATATGGTATATATGGTATATAGTATATATATAAGTATAATTATCTAATTATACATACACACACACACGACACATACACAGATCGTCACACACAGCACACAACACACACCACACACAGCACACCACACACACACACCACACAACCACACATCCACATATTATTATATATATATATATATATTATATATATATATATATATATATATTATTATATATTCATATATTACCATCCATCACGGCCCCAGCCCCTTTAAAACGCCGACGACACTACACCTTCACCCCCCCTTTCCTGCTTCCCTCCTGTTTCCCAGTGTAGCACAACCTTCAACTCCCCCCCCCCTCACCTGCGTTCCAACCCGAGGTCGACGCAACGGATCTTCCTCAAGTCGTAACTTCAGCCCCGACGCCCCTCGCTCGAGATCAGGAGCCCGTCATAAACTTCAGGATCTTCGCAGGACGGATGGGTGGAGAGAATGAGGGGAATGTTAGGGGAATGTTAGAGGCATGTTAGGGGAATGTTAGGGGAATGTTAGTGTTAGAGGATGTTAGGGGAATGTTAGGGGAATGTTAGAGGAATGTTAGGGGAATGTTAGGGGAATGTTAGGCATGTTAGGGAATGTTAGGGGAATGTTAGGGGAATGTTAGAATGGCATGTTAGGGGAATGGGGAATGTTGGGAATGTTAGGGGAATGTTAGGGATGTTAGGGGAATGTTAGGGATGTTAGGGAATGTTAGGGCATGTTAGGGGAATGTTAGGGAATGTTAGGGGAATGTTAGAGGATGTTAGGGAATGTTAGGGGAAAATGTTAGGAATGTTAGGGGAATGTTAGGGGAATGTTAGAGGAATGTTAGGGGAATGTTACGTGAATATTAGAGGAATGTTAGGGGAATGTTAGGGGAATGTTAGGGTTAGGGAATGTTAGAGGCATGTTAGGGGATGTTAGGGGGTTATGGGGAATGTTAGTGTTAGGGAATGTTGGGATGTTAGGGGAATGTTAGAGGCAGTTAGGGAATGTTAGGGGAATGTTAGGGGAATGTTAGAGGCATGTTAGGGGAATGTTAGGGGTTAAATTTAGAGGAAAGGGAATGTTAGGGGAAGAGGAATGTTAGGAATGTTAGGGAATGTTAGGGGAGAATGTTAGGGGAATTAGTGTTAGAATGTTATGTTAGGGGAATGTTTAGGGGGAATATTTAGAAATGTTATATTGAACAAATATTGAGAATAAGAATATTAGGATGTGGAATATTTGAGAAATATTGAAATAATATTAGGGGAATATTGAAGGAGAGGAATATTAAGGAATATTTGAGGAATATGAAGGAAATTAGAGGAATATTGGAGGAATTAAAAAAAAATATTAGGGAATATTAGAGGAATATTGGATATAATAAAGGAATATTAGAGGAATAATAAGG